AGCTCAGCACGGCTCTCTGCCAGGATTTCTACAACACCGCCAAGAGCAACAGCTCGGCGGTGGGCGCTGGCAAGAAGGAGTCTTCCCAGGTGCCCCTTGACCTCAGTCGTGCGCCGCCGGTTTTGCCTTGGTCTGTCTCAAATTCGGGGAGGCCGTTTTGGGATTTTGGAGGGAAGCCAAAAGTCAAACCCACCTGCAAGGATCCTGAAGTTTAAAATTGCGTAGTTCGGGACCCATTGTTTCCAGAATCTATACTTGTGCTGAGTCCCTTGAACCAAGACTTGCTGGTTCTCAGTGAAGCATCCAACTGGCAGCTTCCTGTCAAAAGATCGGCGCCCCTCGGACGATGATTCCCTATTGAAACAAGTCGGTTTTCTTTTCAGTGGAAATTCCTATTGGTGGGAAACGCAAGAGGTATGTATCATAAACGTCCCTAAGCGAAGAGTGTCGATGCTTCATAGTGACCAATCCGCCCCCCTCTCTTCCTCAGAATGAGTCCGTAATCAGGCGTTTGGTTTGGAAGGGGGGGTTGTCTTTCTTTCAGGGTCCCTGAATGCACCAACCGGACAACGGGACGTTCTTGTTTCGCCAAGGCCGCAAGTGTGGGCGGGGGGGGACCTTATTTTGAGTTGGTGCGATTCGGATTTTGGGCCCCGTTGAAAAGGAAGCCGAATGAACATTTGTTTGGGCTCCAGACTTGGAGACAAAGGCACACGTGTTAAACCCCCTTCCCAAACCTCGTACATTTTGTGTCTGGACTACCACATACTACTTTTGCATTGAACTTGCAGGAAATGATAGTCATCAACGTCCGCGTCACCCAATCCAGGGATTGAACGTGTCATGTGGCAGTGGCAACTGGAAGCTCTCTGGAAATAATTCCTTAAAGTAGGTTCTTCTTGGATTCCGTTGACAAGTCGTCCCCGTATTTGAAGACCCCCCCCTCTTGGTCCTTGAATGCCTGGGAGCACTTGCCACTAGGCCGAAAGCACTTTTTCTGCCACCCTTGGTGGACAACCATTGGTTGTTTGCTCTTTCGCACGTCTGCACCACTAAATATATTCTTGGTGACACAACTGCCAACAAGAGACACCGTGTGTAGGTACCCTCGTTCTCTACCCCAGGTGCCCTTTACCTTCCCTTTGCCGTTTTGCTCGCCCAAAGTTGACGCTCGTCCAAAGGCACCCCAAATTGTCACCATGACCAGGTCCTTTGGTTGAATACCAAGGTTCAAGTAGTTGCACGCGGGAGCAAGATCAGTGCTTGAGTATATGCATTTGAGCGAAAGGTCCACACACTGTGCCCCTTAATTGACACTGGGTGCCCCAACCAGGACCCAAAAGGGGTCTCGTTGTTGAACTGGCTTAGACACCAACGAAACTGAGGCGCTTGTTGGGAACGCGGAAAATGCTGAAAAATACGGGAGGTGTACCCGTCTGTGATACCAAAGTGGGTTCCCTTGCTATCACAGAAAATGGAACCAAAGCCCAACTTTCCACACCCGTGTCATAGCTGTCCCTACTATGTTCGTAGGTTCTCACGACAAACTTTCGTAAAAGCCGGGAAAAACGTCCGGCAGTCGCTTCTTAAGCACTGGGTACCTCGATTCGGTTTTTGGGTGTCAATCTCCGTTTTTGACAACAAGGTCACTTAGCAGAAGTTCAAGAGGTCACTCAAGCGAGCCTCGAATCTTTGGGGTGAAACGCGCTCCTTAGAAGGCCACCTGCCCTCAACGGCCCTCGACGGCGCAACATGCCGAGGATCTTGACGTTCGAGTCGCCGGGACCCCGGTGAGCCTCTTGCAAGCCCGAAATTTGTGTACGTGTGAAGTTAGGGGGACCCCCAAAAAACGGTGGCTGGTCCTTTTGGTATTTATTCAATCTAACCCCCAAATTTGGGCGCCCAAGAACAACATGCCAATTTGTGTTTTGAATTAATGCAGGTCAAGAAGAAGCAAACCCTTTATCGGCTTGTGGCAAACATCTTTTTGGCATTGGTAGAGCCAGATGTTCACGCGATATGATGAGTACACGATCCTTGATTCCCCACCCGACAGGAAGGGGTTGTTAGATTTTATGTTGGAATCCGCGTTTGCGATGCTTTTACACCACGCCCCCACCCAGTATCCCGCCAGAGCAGCTTGCTGCCAGAGCAGCTCGCCAGTGGATCCCGCCGAGTATCCCGCCAGAGCGGCTCGCCAGTTCCCGCCGGGTATCCCGCCAGAGCAGCTGGCCAGTGGATCCCGCCGAGTATCCCGCTGAGTGTCTCAGAGTAGCTCGCCAGTGGATCCCGCCGAGTATCCCGCCAGAGAAGCTTGCCAGTGGATCTCGACGAGTATCCCACCAGAGCAGCCCGCCAGTGGATCCTGCCGAGTATCCCACTGAGTGTCCCAGAGTAGCTTGCGAGTGAATCCCGCCAAGCATCCCGCCAGAGTAGCTCGCCAGTGGATCCCTCCGAGTATCCCACCAGAGCAGCCCGCCAGTGGATCCCGCCGAGCACCGTGCTGAGTATCCCAGAGTAGCTCGCCAGTGGATCCCGCCGAGTTTGCGCTGAGTATCCCTTGCCGGTGGATCCTGCCGAGTATCCGGCCAGTATCGATCCGCAGCGGCTCGCCAGTATTCGCCAGCGGATCCCGCCAGTATCCCGCCAGAGCAGCTCGCCAGTCTGGCTTTGCTTAATGTCCCGCCCGGCACACAGTTGGGCTTACATTTACATTTCATGTTGGCGCCGTCGTGTTTTGTACCCTGAGGCTCGGAAAGGGTGATGCTTGTGTTGCTTTGGGTTGCGAATAAGCAACTTCGTCTAATCCCCCGTCGGGTTTCTTTTTGGAAGGGGCTTGGCTTTTGTTAACGGAACCGATGTTTGAGCTCTCGAGATCGGATCGCAGACAAGTGGAGTTTGACACACAGACAGGTGGATAAGGCTCTCAATGCAAAGCTTGTTGAGCAGTCATAGGCCCCAAGCCACTCGAAAACCATGCTTGAATTCACACAACCGTGTTCACGGTCGTAAGCTCGTGAGTGTGGAGGGTGGGGATTGCTCGAAGCGAAGTATTTTTTCTGCGTGATGGTAGAGGTTGACTTGTTGTATTGGTGTCTTACTATGGATTGCCCGCATTCTGAACAAGACCCGGAACACTGTGTTCTTTCCATTTAGCTTAGTGCGTGTCCATTTTTGCGTCACTCATGGCCCAGATATTGTTTGTTGCAGTCTAAGTCTGGTCAAGTGATTTACCAAGTTGTCAAAGTCGGGGAACCTCAACACGGGGGCTTTCCCTTTGGTCTCCCTTTCAAACAACCCAACGTACCCTGAACAAGAGCGGTGGCAGGGTCTTGAGCCTAAATGGTCCATGGTTGGCTCCTAGTCGCTAATTCAGAATGTTGACCCCATATTAAGCAGCCCCAGTTTAAGAGTGGGGTGCCGGGAACACCCCTGTATTAAGAAACTGGCATTGATTAAAAGGTCGGTCGTCAACATTACTCTCCATTGGGTTGCTATGGCTCCTCTTGCCATGGCCCCGAAGCAGTATAGCTTTTTGAGGCCTTCTGAACGTTTACCTGGCTCTGGGTTTGTCTCGAAATGGACACCCACAGAATCCTGAATCAGTGTTGGATATAGAAAAAGTCGACTTCTGTGTCAGAGATTCACTAAGGTACCCCATGGTGCACCCAATGTGCATGATAAGCTCGGACGATGTGTCATTTCAACAGTTTGACTAGAGAGGTTCTAGGGACTTGGTTTATTTGTGAGTGGTCTTGAACACAAAAAGACCCGGAGCACATGAATACATGAACGCACCAGTCGTGCCTTTGCGAGACACCTTGATTGATAGGCTGTCGAACGGTGCCCTTGGCAGCTCGGAGGACCATTTCGGAATATGCGAGTGTCAGGGATTAATACTACCCCCAACCGATTCTTACGGTTGGGAAAGCGCCTCCTGTTTGGGAACCCTAGAAAAACGTCTAGTCTTCGTGTTGCTTGCCTTTTAAAGAGCCCTGAGACTGAAAGTGTATCCTGAAGCCCCCGAAGCTCAAAGGTTCCGAAGGACCCTAGTTGTAAGTTGTAGGGTGGGGTTGATGGGTGCACGCTATTTGGCCCATGACCTGGCGAGCTCACCGTGATTTTCACGAGCCCAACCATGAAGGTCCCGATGCCAGGCGCCCCTATACTGGTTATTGGTGGTTCAGATTGGTGGCACGCTGGTTTGAACCCCACTTCTTTTTGAAGCTGCATGGGGAAGGTAAACCACCAAACCACATAGGGGTAAAATATGTGCAGGCAAAAACGCTCAGTTCTTTGAGGCCGTCAGGCAGAGAAAACTCGTGGGAAGCTAATTGTTGGTCTGGAGTCTGCTTTCGCCTGAAGAAAAGGCTAGGAGGCGTTCTCGAAGAGTGCAGTAGGCGCTCTGTTGGACCGTGCCTAAGGCCTGCTCGTTGCAGGTCTTGTTTGAACAGGAACTCTTGTCTCACCCGCTCAGAAGTCAGGGGTTGCACGCTAGATTGTCATGCACTTTCCTCTTCCCTTTTGGGAAGAGTTGAGAAATGAAATTGGGAACCCCCCAGACCCCATTCACCTGGAAGGTGGGGGGGGAAGGATTCTTTATCTCACGGAGGGCCTGCAGTGGACACCAGCAGAATTTGTTCATCTAGGCTGACGATGACTTACGTGCATATCAAACGGTCCTGTTTTCCGAGCTTAAACCCAGACTCCAATCGCACTTGATGCATACTTTGACTGCACATGAGTGAAACAAGGCAACCTGCAAGATGTGTTCCACGTCAATGACATAATTGCATTCGATGAATTAGTTTACACTGTTCTGGGCAACTTAGAACGACGTCACGAGGGAGGTTTCATGACTGAGCCGCTTATCTTAATCATTTGGCATGGGTCTAATTCACTGGCGCACCGCAGGACGTGCGCGTGATGATGAACGCCGAGGTCTACTTGCCCACCGGGCACCCTGACAAAAGTGCAGGTGGAATGAATCTCCGGAAGCTCATAGTCTAGGCTAGAGGAAGCCACAAGATTCCTAAGGGTCATTCACTTCTCCCAGCTGAGAACCAGCAAGGCATAGCAACCTCCTGAGTGAAGGAGTTCCTTGTCACGGCCCGAAAATGGACCCTGAACGGGATGGCACGCAGCAGGGCGCTCTAGCAGAAGGCCCTCAAATCTATTTTATGCTGTGCTTGTGGGTTGTTGCTTCTTTTGTATAACAAAATAGTGTTACTGTCAGTGTCAGGATTGATATGATAAACATAAACCGATATGTGTTTATGATCTTCTTCACACTGTTCAATCTCATCATTTCCGACTAAAAAGTCTATCTTGTCCCAATTGAAAAAGGTTCAAATTGAAATAACCGAATATTTCCAATCAGGGTTGGTTATCCTTCAAGTTGAGAGGCTGGTCATCAGCTATGATAGATATAATCCTACACGAGGAGCTTCGTTTATTCCATGACCCGACTGGGTAGCAAACAAGAAGGCGTGCTTCAATATCAAGAATGAACACCAATTATGTGTCAAATATTATGTTCATTGTGGATTTTACGAGATTTACAAAAAATACCATCCCTGCGACATGTATCATTACAAAACATATGTCAATGATGCTTTCTATGTCGTGAGCGGCGTTGTCAAGCGTCCCGTTTAACTCGTCGGGGTTGTGAATGTTGTATCTCCTGCTTCTCAGCCTTCGCCCACTTCTTCATGGTTAGGCGCCTTTTCTGATTTGCGGCAGAAGTTTCTGCCGCAACGAATCTCTAGGTATTGGGTATTGGTCAAAGCAACAACGAAGGAAATAACAATACGGAAGACATGAATGATTTAAGAGTATAGGAACAACAAGAGCAGATACTTTAATAATAAAATCAATTCAATAATGTGTGGCACGAATAGAAAAATTGGAAGAATGAAAGTCCGACAAACTAATATAAATTACCAAATTTTCAGTTTTGCAACGCTTCATTGATTTTAATTTAATACATTTTAATATTATTAATTATCATTGTCTGACACTATATCTTTAGGTATAGTTGTTGAAGCAGTGCTAGTTGCTTCATAATCTTCAATAATTACGTCATTACAAGATTGTTTTTGCAATCTTAATATGTCCATATCCGTTGGTCGCAAAGCTTGCGAGCCTTTGGCGCGGCATCTTATTTTTAATACTCTGTAAAGTTTGCGTATCCAAGAATTACAATAGATTTCATATTATCCATTGTGATAAAAACCACCGCACTTGCAAAGTTTCAGTACCATATTGGTAGTTATAGATTTGTTTTATTTTAACAGATTTCTCAAATCTAACATAAAACATATTATTAACATAATAGAAATTCATATTTGCATAAAAGAAACTGTAAGGTGCGTCGTCTACCGCTTTATGATACATATTTGACCGGTGCTCTTTATCAACAATGGCAGAGTTTCCCCAATGAATGACATTAACTCTGATACATTCTTCAACTTGAAGATATACAACGAACTTGGTGCTACGACACGGCATTTTTGAACACTTAAACAAAAACTAATGGCATCCTGCCTACCCTGTTGTTGCCAGTCCATGTAATAACTTACTGTATCTAACAAATTTAGGGTCATCAGCGAAATCATGGACAATGATTCAAATTGAATGTTATTTCTTCATCTTCAGTTTTTTTCATGTAATGAATAATCTGTCTTTGTGTGTCAATGATTTCTTCCAGTTCTTCGGGTTGGTAGGTGTCATCATATAATCATATAAGATGGCTTTCTCGTCGTCAACCTTCATATCATTTTTCGGCATTTCTTGCCTTCAACGAAGGTAGGCTCGTTATGAACAGACAGACTAAAAATAAATATACGAGCGAAGCAATCCCTATTTACATTTAATATGAGGTTTTGAATTAAAGAAGTTTTGCCACCTGTTGATGAAGCAACGGCGATGGAGGGGGGAATGGCGGTTTTGGCACGTGTTCATATTTAGATTGTTTGAGCTCGTATTCAGTTATTGTTTTTACTATTGGAACATCAGGCACAATGAAATAATTTTATAAATGCTTATAAAATAATGTGTTGTATTTATTATTAAATGGAACATCGTTTTTATGATATGCTGGTGGTGAATATCATAAAAATGGAACAGGCGTTCCATTACTTCAATCAATAAGCATTGAGTATAATTAGTTGGATACAGTGTGAAGAAAACTCATTGCTGAGCCCCAAATATTCTATCATGCATGAAATAATAAGATTAATGAATTAAGAATTATCTTAGTATTTAATATGAATATAAGTTATTCAATTTTTATTGATATAATTTATGAAGATGAAAAAGTTGAGCAAGTTGTAACAACTGACAGTAAAACTAAAACTGTTGTCATTATTCATTATAATTGATTAAGTCAGGATACACAATATTCATATATATAACATGTAAATATTAATACAAATGCCAAAAAAGAAAGAGTAAAAGCAAAGAAAGACCAACACCAGAGGTTCAAGAAATACTTATAACAACAGAAATTGTTAAATCAAAGGGTGAAAGTAAAGCTATAACATGTGATTAATGTAATCACGTTATGAATTTTAAAAGTGAATTGACAGTAGATAAAAACGGTGGAGTTCAGGTTAGTTGTATTCCATGTGTGTTTTCTTATAGAAAGACAGATATGAATTGAATAGTGAGAAACAACTGATGGTGATATGGTGGTTGAAACTGATGAACATTTGATTAATGTCAGTTTTAACAGGGACACAAGTTAGTATTTAAAGAGTAGATTTAACATAGTTTAAGCATTTAGTTGTAAAAGTTGTATTTTATACTGTAGTATATATGAAAAGTGTAGATACACTGATGTTGAAAATTGATGAGATAATGGAACAGAACAAACAAATATATTCTATGTTAGCAAAACCAACATATACTAATAACAACTATCAACTGAAGGAAGTAGATAGAGATGGTCAGGAATATAAGAACAAGAGAGGTATATATCTGAAGAAATTGAACCGTAAAGAAATTCAAGAACCGAAGCAAACAACTATGGATTATTTCAAAATAACATATGACAAGGAACTTACACTTTATGTTTAATCATTAACCAACAACATTTCGTGTCTCAAAAGCGGTTTGTTTATTCCTGCTACTTTAAGTTTTCTTGCCCATAACATCATATTCAATTTTATCAACATTGAATACTTTATTAGGAGCAGAAATCAAAGTGCAAAACGAGCGCAAATATCCGCAAAACGAGCGCACATATCCGCAAACGAGTGCAAACTTAAAAACGTAACAATCCCGCCTTCCTCTTGATGAAAGAAGGGGATGTGATCGAGCGTTTTTCGGGGGGGAGCATTTGTTGGGGTGTCGAGCGGAAATCGGTAATTCGAGCGTTTTTTCTCGTACCTAAAAAAAGGGCACGTTGGGTGCCTCAGGTTGTAGTTAAGAGGGACTTTCTGAGTATTCAAATAATATTGCTAATGACATTTTTCATATGAAACAAATTGAAGAACTGTTTATTCATATCATTATATAATTATAATACGAGTGTGACATTTATACCCTTATATGTTATAATTCTACAATATTTATAACCTATAAACATTTCACTACATGTCAAAACAAATGCACTACCAACACCCCAGAACATGAGAACTACTAAAAGGTACCGGGTATTTACCCACCCGCAAGTCGAAGTGGCTTTTACCCCGCCAACATGGCAAAAACACCCTCTCAAGAGCACCCGCTCAGCGCTGCACACACGCACGCCAAATGGTAAGAACACCCGCTCAAGTGCACCCGCTCGGCGCTGCACACACGAATGCCAAATGGCAAGAACACCCGCTGAAGTGCACCCGCTCAGCGCTGCACACATGCATGCCGAATGGTAAGAACACCCCGCTGAAGTGCACCCGCTGGTCACTGCACACACGCATGCCATATGGTAAGAACACCCGCTGATGTGCACCCGCTCAGGCTGCACACACGCATGCCGAACGGCAAGAACACTTGCTGAAGTGCACCCGCTCGGCACTGCGCACACGCATGCCACATGGTAAGAACACCTGCTGAAGTGCACCCGCTTTGCGCTGCACACACGCATGCCAAATGGTAAGAACCCCCGCTGAGGTGCATCCGCTCAGCACTGCAAACACGCATGCCAAATGGCAAGAACACCCGCTGAGGTGCATCCGCTCAGCACTGCGCACACGCATGCCAAATGGTAAGAACTGGTAAGAACACCCGCTGAGGTGCATTCGCTCAGCGCTGCACACTCGCATGCCAAATGGCAGGAACACCCGCTGCGGTGCATCTGCTCAGCACTGTGCACACGCATGCCAAATGGTAAGAACACCCGCTGAGGTGCATCCGCCTAGCACCTCGCACACGCATGCCAAATGGTAAGAACACCCCCTGAGGTGCATCCGCTCAGGAGTGCACGCATGCCAAATGGTAAGTACTTGCCCGCTGAGGTGCATACACTCAGCACTGCACACACGTATGCCCAATGGTAAGAACACCCGCTGAGGTGCAACAGCTCAGCACTGCACACACGAATGCCAAATGGTAAGAACACCCGCTGAGGTGCATCCGCTCAGCACTGCACACACGCATGCCAAATGGTAAGAACACCCGCTGAGGTGCATCCGCTCAGCACTGCACACACGAATGCCAAATGGTAAGAACACCCGCTGAGGTGCATCCGCTCAGCACTGCACACACGCATGCCAAATGGTAAGAACACCCGCTGAGGTGCATCCGCTCCAGCATTGCACAAAGGCATCCAATGCTAAGAACACCCGCTGAGGTGCAATCGCTGCGCACTGCACACACACATGCAAAATGGTAACAACACCCGCTGAGGTGCATCCGCTCAGCGCTGCACACACGCATGCCAAATGGTTAGAACACCCGCTGAGGTGCATCCGCTCAGCACTGCGCACACGCGTGCCACGTGGTAAGAACACCCGCTGAGGTGCATCCGCTCAGCACTGCACACACACACATGCAAAATGGTAACAGCACCCGCTGAGGTGCATCCGCTCAGCGCTGCACACAGGCATGCCAAATGGTAAGAACACCCGCTGCGGTTCATCCGCTCAGCACAGCGCACACGCGTGCCAAAGGGTGAGAACACCCGCTGAGGTGCATCCGCTCAGCACTGCACACACGCATGCCAAATGGTAAGAACTGGTAAGAACACCCGCTTAGGTGCATCCGCTCAGCGTTGTACACTCGCATGTTAAATGGCAGGAACACCCGCTGCGGTGCATACGCTCAGCACTGTGCACACGCATGCCAAATGGTAAGAACACCCGCTGAGGTGCATCCGCTCAGCACTTCGCACACGCATGCCAAATGGTAAGAACCCACCCTGAGGTGCATCCGCTCAGCACTGCACACACGCATGCCAAATGGTAAGAACACCCGCTGAGGTGCATACACTCAGCACTGCACACACGCATGCCAAATGGTACGAACACCCGCTGAGGTGCAACAGCTCAGCACCTGCAAACAGTGCACACACGCATGCCAAATGGTACACCCGCTGAGGTGCATCCGCTCAGCACTGCACACACGCATGCCGAGTGGTAAGAACACCCGCTGAGGTGCATCCGCTCAGCACTGCACATACGCATGCCAAATGGTAAGAACACCCGCTGAGGTGCATCCGCTCAGCACTGCACACACGCATGCCAAATGGTAAGAACTTGCCCGCTGAGGTGCATCCGCTCAGCACTGCACACACGTATGCCCAATGGTAAGAACACCGCCGAGGTGCATCCGCTCTGCACTGCACACACGCATTCCAAATGGCAAGAACACCCGCTGAGGTGCATCCGCTCAGCACTGCACACACGCATGCCAAATGGTAAGAACACCCGCTGGGGTGCATCCGCTCAGCACTGCACACACGCATGCCAAATTGTAAGAACACCCGCTGAGGTGCACCCGCTCAAGCGTAACAACAAACAACCCAGTCCACGAAGGCGGCGGATTTCAATTTCCACTGGGATAGGACAGGTCTCCAGCCGGTGCCCCGACCTTTGTAGTTTAGACATCGTTGCACTGCCATGTGTCCTGACTAGAACAAAAGATGCGCGGCTTTACTCTGAAATGAGTTAGTTACCGGGATGTTCAAAGACCCACAAAGATGCACGTTTGTCAAACTCCCTGAGAATTCAATCACAAAAAGCGAAGACACGCAAAAAACGCGCGGGTGGGTATGTTCCCGGCGCGTACTAAAAGGGCTATCTCTTCCAAAAAACAAGAGTCATCCCCCAGCCCAACAATGAACAAGCCCAAACAAACCCAAAAGTCCAGCCTCTAACAAAACGATAGATAACCCCTCCACAAACCCTCTATTAAAAAACGAATAAGGGTGTCAACACAAAAACCAGAACAGGCAACCATCAACCCCCCACCCCTCAGGCCCCCCTTTTTTCAATCCCCCCCCCCCCGCAAGATCGCGCTCCGCATTCTCAGTTCTAGCCGAACGTTCCCCATTGTCTTCAACAAGCCTTCTCTTAAAAAAATGGCAATCCCGCGAAACGTGGGTGGTTTTAAAGATATCTATGGGTGAAGAGAATGGCGAATCACACCCCAAGACACCGGCCTCACAAAGCATCCAGGTGAGCCCAAAAGTTGCGATTGGGGTATTGGCTATCTCGGACTTTTGTTTTGCCTGGATCTTGTTTCTACATGCGCAAACAATTGACCAAGAAAAACTCCTCCCAGAAAGCATGGGGAAGCACAACCAGCCAGGCTACTGCCCTCCGCTCCGCTCCGCTCCGCGTGCAAACAAGCAAGCAGGCACGCACGCAAGCAAGCAAGACAAACAAAGAAGCAAACAAACAAACAAACAGACAGAGACAAATAGACAGACAGACAAACAAAGAAGCCAACAAACAAACAAGCGAACACACCGAGCGAGCAAGCAAGCAAGCAACCAAGACACAAGAGCTTACAAGCCAAACGCGAGAACACAACACAACACAACTCAAAGGCGCAACAAGACAAGACAGAACACGAAAACGAGAAAGCCAAACAATACACAACAAACCACTCAGGCACCAGCGCAAAAGCACCCAGACAAACTACCACACAAAGGAAACACACAACAACGCGTTTCCTTTGTGTGGTAGTTTGTCTGGGTGCTTTTGCGCTGGTGCCTGAGTGGTTTGTTGTGTATTGTTTGGCTTTCTCGTTCTCTTGTTCTGTCTTGTCTTGTCGCGCCTTTGAGTTGTGTTGTGTTGTGTTGTCGCGTTTGGCTTGTAAGCTCTTGTGTCTTGGTTGCTTGCTTGCTTAAGCAAGCAAGCAAGCAAGCAAGCAAGCAAGCAAGCAAGCAAGCAAGCAAGCAAGCAAGCAAGCAAGCAAGCAAGCAAGCAAGCAAGCAAGCAAGCAAGCAAGCAAGCAAGCAAGCAAGCAAGCAAGCAAGCGCGCACGCAAGGAAGCAAGCAAGCAAGCAGAAAACGATAAAGAAGGACATAAAAGAGGATTGCAGGAAGAATGCAATAAAGAAATAAACGCAGAAAGAAACAAAGAACAAACTAAATGAATGCTTATACATGGACAGACACAAACACGGGAAAAAGCTGACACGATCAATAGCAACACAAGGAATAACGAAAGACATGTTATGAATCAATACATAAAGACATGCATCACAAACATGAAGAACCAGATACAATAGTAGATGCGGAAAGAGAGGCATACAAAACATACATAAATCAAGACATACAGACACGCGTATACAACGAACATCTTAGTAATAACAAGCACCTACAGGAAGACATGAATAAGGAACAACATAAATTCATAGATATAGAAATAAATACAACAATGCGCGAGCAAGCAAACAAGCAAAACACAATCCGGCCAACACATACAGAGTCGACCAAAAAATCAAGCACTCCAGGCGCAACACCGCGAATGCCTGCTTGATTGCTTTCTAATTGCTCCAGTTTTTGTGCCTTTTGGGGGTGGACACGGCCGAGGGGCTTCCCTGGGCAGAAATAGTGCCCAACTTGCCCAACTTGCCAGGGGTACAGCTGAGAAAGAAACAAACAGAACGTACATCCCAGAACGTACATCCCCCCTCCCTCCCAAAAAGGAAAAGCGACAAACCAACACCTCTTGCCCCATGTCCCCTCTCACAAACAGATGTAAACAGATTCCTTGTTGGGGGAAAAACACCTTCTCTCCTCACCAACAAGATGTTGTTCTCCACAAACATCTCCCCCAGAAAGCGCAACGCACCAAGTAACAAGTTTGTTATTTTGGCCAATCCACTCAGGAAGTGAGAAGCACAAACAAAACTACAACCATCGCAAACGTAACCTAGGTCCCCCAGTAGTGCCCTTTTACCATTTCCTTTTGTGGGAGGGTTCCCCTACTAAAATAGACAACAGAAACAATTTGGTACCCGCTTATTCTGGCCTCTCTACTGGAGGACCCAGTCTTCCAAAAGGCAAGATCGGGGGGCAACAAAATCGGCGCCGGCTCAGGTGCGAGTCCAGCCTGGACATCAAGACCTCCAAGTCCAATCGCCGGCTCAAGGGCCGAAAGCTGCAGACCACCGGCGGCGCCGTGCTCAAGCCGCGACCTCGAAGGGCGTTTTTGGCGGAGATGTGTTGGGAGCATAGCGCGCGGGTGTATCCCCACCCCCTTAAAACTGGAACCTGGAAATCCATTTCTGGTTCCATGTTCCCTTTTATTGGGAAGACTGGATAAATGGAATTGAGGGCCCCCCCACCCCCTTCCCCCCTACAGCAGGGGGGATGCGGATGTGGCTTTTAGAGAACCCCTTTTTGGCGAGCTGGTTGAAAAGGAACCCCTGGATTTTTGTTTCTTCTTCGGGGCGGGGGGTACCCCAGGTTTGAGGCAAACCCACCAGGGGTTGTCTTTCTGTTGAGGCAGTGTGTAACTGAATCTTTGTCCGGCGGTTTCCGTTGCTAGTTGGGGGCATAGCGCAACCGCTTTAGGGAACCCGGACTTGGACTTTGGTTTTCGTGTTGGGGTCTCCTGAAAGCCACCACCTGTGGAGGCGGATATTTGGGTGATTTTTCAGGGGCCCTCGGGCGCATGTTGGAAGGGAACCAGTTTTCTCCAGCTCAGACAAGCCACCTGGGAGGACCGGAAATACCGACTTAGTTCAGCGGCACCCCTTTGTTCGTGTCTTGCTGGTTCCCCCGTTGAAAACAGTCAATCCTTCGTTTTTTTTTGCATGGTCACTGGAGGTCTGGCTGAATACCCTGACTGAAAGCCACCGGCCATCGCTGGCAGATCCACACATGAGCCACGTTTTCAAAACTGATGAAGCTGAGTAAGGGAAAGTCCCCTTGCCAGAAATGATGCAGCCGCCTTGTGAATTCTTTGCATGGTTTTGGGGATCGACAATGTTAGTACTCATCGGTTTTGACTATGACTCACATTTAGTCTAGCATGACCCACAGTGTTGCTCACATTGCGATTCCTTCGCCTCTTTGGTACAAAGGGCTTTGGCTAGCTGCGTTGTTTCCGTCCGTGAGCGTACATGGATGAGGGAGCGCTTGAGTAGAGCTTGTTAAGGTAAGATCCAGGATTGGCCTTTCGTTTTTGTTCGCAGGCACAGGAGCTCCCAATAGGTTTTGAAGCCTTGTAGACTTCTCGTTCTTTTCCTATGGAGGTCAAACGGCAATCCCTGGCTAACTGACTCTGAACTCCTTCTTTTTGTTTTGCCACTGGTGAGTGGCTTACCTGTCCAACATTGAACTGTTCAACGCTTGAGCTTTGATAGGCTGATTGCAGTCGTGATTGTCCAGGACAACCCTAGGCCCTGAACTTGCTACAGGCTATCCTGGGACCAGGTTAAAGACTTTGTTCGGAGCTGTCAGGTAAAAGCGCTGTGACTAGCTGACTAAGCCTTACTCAAACCTCTCTACTGGAGGACCTAGTTGAACAGTCGTCGCTGGTCTTGACACCGCAACGTGTTTGCCTTTTTTTTTGGGGGGTGGTCTCCTTTGCCCTGATAGAGATGCTTGTCTACTGATATCTGTCTTTTGTGCCCATTTGACCACTCTCACTAAATAAGCGAAATAAGTATCTCAAGAGAGCCACTACTATCCTCGCCTTCAGTTGCTTTTGATATGTGCCGTTTCAAGGAAACATATCATGACAAGCATGCAACTCTATTTCCCAATGGCGCAGAGTACATAGACAGGCACACACACACACACACACACACACTCACATGCATGGCAGTTGAAGACTGGATTTAGGAACCCCGCAACTATGCGCATGTGTAGAATCTCCTGAAATCCCAACACAAGCAGGTTTTGGGGCCTTCTTTTGCTGATTTTCAGGAGCGGCCTACATGAAAAGTAGTAGTTCGCCATGTTTAACATGCCCGGGAACAGCTCCTTTCGCGGCGGGGCGGGGGAACACGTGTCAAGTTTTATGGCATAAGCAGAATCAGGGAAATATATGTGTTTGGTCTTCACTTACTAGTAATTGGCTCTTAGCCCGCGTACCTTCTTTTTGTCTCCGCCTTGGCTTCCTCTATCTTTGGGTTGACGTGGCCGGATTCCTCGTACTGGCAGCACTCCTTCCCCTTGCCCCGGATCGATCCGGCCGAGGTTCACCGTCTCGAACCAAGGAGCGTGGGATCCTTTTGGTCCGATCCCAGGGACGGTGCGAAAAGAAATCGGGGGTGTTGTTCACCTAAAGAAATGAGATCAGCTGTTGGGGGGTTTCAGCCCGCAACTAGAGTGTCCGGATGAATCCGAAGTTGACATTGAATGCACATGTGAGGGGACACAATGAGCATTGACCCATCTTGCTGGATGGCTATCTTGTGAAGAACCCCCAGTTGGTCGTCTCTTCAGGGGTCTGCCTTGTTTGGGTTCATAGCAGCCTGCATTTGTATAATTAAGCCTCCATCTACCACAAGTCGACCGGGTATATCGCGCAAACCCCAAGGAACAACTTAAGCAAGTCCGGGCTGGTCTATTGCCCGTAGAGCGGGGCTCGGCATAAAGTTAAGTGGCACTCTTCACTTGGGTCGCGTTTTAGTAGGCGGTTGACCACCGTATACCAAGACATGGCCAACGTAATTGGACTTCGGTAATCAGACACCGACCCTTGTTCCTTCTTGTCTGAAGATTATCCCCGTAAAATCAACTTGAAAATTATATTGGCTTCAAACTATCCCCACTGAAGACAGGGCACGCTTTACGCCACTGGCGTCACCTGGCCTGGCCACTGGCGGGCGGCTGCTGGCGGAAGCCTCGGCTGTTCTTGGCCGGGCTTTGGGCTGTCACTGCCGTCCGTCACAAGCTCCGTCACGCTTGTTTGTCACCTCTGCCTGTCAGACCCTGTCGTCACAAACTCTGTCACAGCAGTCTGCAAAAAGCCTGCCTGTGACACACAGCTACTTTTCACATTTGTTTGTCACAGGCTCTATCGTAGCGGTCTGTCGCAGGCTCTGCCGCAGCTGTCTGTTACATCCGTTTGTCACAGGCTCTGTCACATCTATTTGTCAGATCTATGCGTCACATCTGTCTGTCATAAGCTGTGTCACATCTGTCTGTCACAGGCTCTGTCAGTGGGCGGGCGGCCGGTTGTGGAGGCCGGATGTCAGTTAAATCTGGAGTGGGGGTCTGGGGGTCTGGGGGCCTTCGGCTAGGAGCCACTAGCGTGTCCCCGACGGCGGTGGCTGAGCAGCTGAAGCAACAGGCCGGACATCCGGAGATCTGATCCGGAGATCCGGCAGCCCAAGGTTCGGTTTGGAGAGTGGAATGCCAGTGCCCCTTGGGAAGACAGTGTATCTTGCAGTCCACCGGAGCCATTGGCGAAAATTGTGTAGAGACCCGATGGCCCAACGCCTTTCGCCACTTGGTTTCAAAGGAGGGTTGGAAGCATGGTTCGATCAAAAAGGGGTAACCGAACCTAGAGTTTCGTACCGCAGGATGCGTTCTACCCTCTCCAAAAAGTCGACCTCGTGGGGCCGCTTTTGGGGTGGCACCCTGTTTTTCGGTTTTTTGTTTTTAGAATATATTCGAAACTGAAGAACCTGAATCCAGGCCATGCCAGGGCGGTCCCCTGTGACTACCTTATTGTTGCCCAATGACATAAGTAATGCAATATTCTCAGTTTGCCAATCCGGGTCACAAAGGCAGAAAACAATTCCAGGGTATGTTTGGTTTTGTTCACTGTTGGAAAGTTTCAAAAGCCCCCGCTACACCAACTGCTTGTTCGTTTTATTGCGTTTGCGTGTGCAGCAACGGTCGGCATTTCTGTCATGAACAGAAGTCAAGGGAGTGACATGGGGCACACGGCGTGCACACCACATGGTCCATGCGAGAGAGGGGTTACTCACCAAAATCAAGCGTCAACTGACGCCATACTGACTCGTTTTTCTCAGCTGGAAGCTTTGGGGCTGCCCAGGTAGGCTTTGGGGTGGTTCGGAGCAGCATTCGGGGGGGGGGGGGGTCTGGAAAGGGGTTCCGGACTTCCTGAGCTGATGTTCTTGTATTGAAGAGGGTGCCTCTTCAACTGAGCACTAAGAAAGAGGGTGCCCTTTTGAGCTTGAATTATGTACCCGAAAGGACAATCATGTTTGTGAGAACCCAAGGTTATCCAAGTCAATATGGGTTCAGGGGAAACCTTAAAACGGAAAACTATTTTTAAAAAATGACGAGCTGGGCCCTCTCGTGCAAGCGAGAGCTTCACCGGACTCGAAATGCTGCACCGGGGGTCTTGTGTTACATATCGTTTTTCTTTTGTCGAGAATAGCCTTTTCGGGTTGGTTGAAAGGGAAACCAAACGAACAACCAACCGCTTGAAGTCCCCAAAAAGACACGCCCACATGGAGATATTCTCCACATGGAGATGTTCTGTGCATGGAGATGTTCTCTACATGGTGGATGGTTTTGCTTGGTTTTCACAACGGGCCCACATGCTTCCACAACGGGCTACTGAATAGCCCCCATATGTTTGGATTCTCCCAAAGAGAAGCTGAAAGGGGATGGGTTTGTTTATTCAGTGGCCGGTCGTGCTTCTTTTTTGGTTGTTTCAGGGTGGTTCCCTTGGTTGTCCACTTGTTGTCATGATTGGCCGCGATCTGCCTGTTGCTTCTCCCCAACAGACACGGTTGATTTCCTAGGAATCACCGGGGATCTATTCTAACAGGACGCTGTGTTTTGCTTTGCGGCTGCCCTTTTTGCGGTTGGTTTGTTTGACCAAACCACTTGACTGCTAGTTGGATCTTTAGACTTTACCTTTTTGGGATATCAAGGGTTTTCCACTAGACCCACAAAAAGTGAAACTTCTTGCAGAGGGGTCGTTGCAGCAACCAAGACCGAAAGGAACGCCACCAGTGGGCACTCGGCGCTTCGGCGCCTCGCGAGGTGAAGCGCCAGAGCCCCGGCATGAAGACGGCGCTCACCCAGCTCGGCACCGTGGACGAGAAGGCTCAGGGTTCGAACCGGTCGCACGACGCCTTATTTCCACACCAAAGAGGGGGGGGCGGCTTCTCTCTGTTGCGATCTTGTTGTTAACGTTTTGTTCTGACTTCTGGAGAGTGGTTGCCTCATGTTTGCCTTGTTCAGTCTTTCTTGCCTGGACTTTTGGGCTTTTCGGTTTCTCTTGACTTATGTCCCAGACTCTGGGTGTTGTTTCTCCGTGCTTGGGCTTTGTTTTCCAGACCCTTGAAGTTTCTTAGTTTTTTTTCAAAGCTTCATTCTTGTTGCTCCTTGGAGCTAAGAAGATTCTGAGTTTGGAGTGAGTTTCCCTTGAACTGCTAAAGAAGGGGTGCCCTTCCTTCCTCGGAGCCATTTTTCTTGGGGGGTCCGGTTAAGGCAACTTTCCTTGTTGGGCATAGTTGTTCTGAGCATGAGATTGCTTTGGTGGGTGATGGTTAAAGGGGACATTCAAGGCACCCTGCTGCGGCATGGTTGTGCAAAGCTTGACATTTCCGGTTACCACTTGCCATAGGTTTTCTTTCTGGTTTTAACTCGTTTGACCTGTGATGGCACTGGTTTCATTGGTACTTTGTGTTTTTGGGTGTCATCTACTTGTCCAAGACAGCCGAGTTGCGTGCCCAGAAGCGTCCCTTTGACATCAACTTCAAGATGGCCGAAGAGGTTCTGCCATGCTCTTCTCCAATTTCACGGCAAGGGACCCCAAGAGAGGGCCATCTCCCAAAAGGACTTCTTCCTCCGGCTGGATCCTTTTTTGGGATCCTTCTGTTGATTTGCCAGACAGTGTATTCATAAGTTGTTCGCATATTATTCATCGATCATTCACAGATGATTGACATTCACAGATAATGTTCACACATTGACTCATTATTCACAGATAATTCACTGATTATTCACACATTCACACATTCTTATTTCCTCGGGATCATGATATTAAAGTCTTTTAAAGTGAAAGTGCCCCATCAATGTAGACTCCACTTGTTTCACCCCTGGTCCCACCCCTACAGTCCCCCCCCCGATGGTATGCTTTATATTGTGCGTGCTGTGCTGGCAGGTGACCGTGGTACCGTACCTCATAGTACATGATTGTTTCCCCCCCCCCCTCTGGGTACAAAGAGTACCCCTTCCTATTTGCTTGTTTCCAGCAGCATTCCAAGTATGTGTGTTGTATACGAACAAATGCATAGGCTGAATGAAATGGACACCAACAAGGAAACCACCAAACTTGGTCTACTTCTTTGCACACCCCAAAGTGCTATTGCCCTTTGAATGCCTTTTTATATAGTGGGTCCCCTGCTCTTCTATTTTGAAGGTTCTCAGTAGGGATTGAGGGAACGACCCCCTATGAACTAATCCGCTTATTCCTTCATTCTCCAAAACACCAAGAAATCCCTACTGAGAGCCAGCAAGACAATTTATGACCCAAGAGAACTGCCTTCACCTATCCAAGCACCTGAAACCACTAAATACAGATCGATCAAACGTTGGGTGCGTTTCCGGAACCCAAGTGTTTCTATCCATGGGCCGCATTTCTATTGGAACGAAGCGCGCGAAGAGCGCGAAGCGCGCGAAGCGGAGGCGGCGGTGGCCATGAGCTCGCAGACCACCACGGTGCGCACCCGGGCCGCGGCGGTCCAGGAGAAGAACCTGGCGCCTCCGAGTCAGATCCGCGGGCGTTTTTTTGTGAGCAGATGGGTTTTGGGCCGGAGCAGGGCCAGCAGGGGTTGTGTTTTTTTGGGTAGGGGAGTCGTGCCGGAGGGGATCATTGTAGTTGCTGTATCAAGGTTTTTGCCTTGAAGAGGGAGCCTTCAAAGGGCTTGCAGGAGGTTTGGTTGGCTGGTTGGGGATATGGTTTGGGTGCGTGTCAACATGTGAATTGGGCCTCAAAATAGGCTTCAGTGTTCAATTTGTGTTGCCCAAAACCAGCCCAGAGAGGGGCTCAAGCAAGGACACCACTTCCCCCTGGTTTGGGAGTAGCCGAAACCCTTCTAGATATGGGTCTGGCTTGGGCTGGGGAGGATGCCAGATCCAAGCAACTCACTCCCTGGGACCAGTTTGATATAAAGCTCAGATGTGTTTTGGCCAATTTGCTGAGGAAGTGAGCCGATTTGTCCTTTGGAGTTTTGGGGGTCGGTAGGTTAGCTTGCTTGCTTTGCTTTGCTTGGCTTGGCTTGGCTTGGCTTGGCTTGGCTTTGCTTTGCTTTGCTTGCTCGCTTGTTGTTTTGTTTATTTGTTTGTTTGTTGTTGGTTTGGTTGGGTTTGGTTTGGCTTGGTTTGGCTTCATTTGGTCTGGTTTTGTTTGCTTGTTTGTTTGGTTGTTTGTTTGTTTGTTTGCTTGCTTGCTCTCCTGCTGAACTTGGCCAGCAAGCAATCCAATAGGTTTCTCCTTGGGCAAAGGGTTCCCCGGATTTGTAAACCCCTAATTTGTTTGGGCTAATGAAAAATGAGTCTACTCCTGTAATCATGACTAAGTTTGGTTTCAAAGTCCTCATTGTTGAACGGCCGATTTAGTTCAGGCTATCCCATTCAGTCGAGCCTGCTTTTTTTTGGGTTTTAACCGCTTTCCCCCCATCGTCGACTGGTTCTCAGATCCGTTTTTTGTTTTTGTGGTTTTCCCATGTTTTGTTGCTGCGGGTGGTTTGGGAGTGGACTTCCTAAAAATGGAAGAACCGCACAGGGGATTCTGGAAGAGCGCGTTGCATCGGAGTCCACCCCATATGTTGCCCTTGAGCCCCCGAAAAGCCTCAAACAATGAGGTTTTCGGCTCCAGGCTTGGTTTTATGATGGCTGACGAGTCAGCCCCCTGTCCGTCCCTTTTGTGGCCAGGGGCGAAGCAACCTTCTCAATGAGGCCCCTGCTCTTCGCAACCGATCAATTGGTTTGAAACGCATTAGAGGTCATGCTGAAAGGCCGAGTAAGGCGCAAGAGGGGGACGACTTTGGGCTACGAGGAACAGCTTGAGGCAACCAATATTAGGGAATTGGCATTACAACGAGTGAGAGCATGACCCAAGAAGTTTGAAGGGACCCTTCCAAAAGCAAACATAGAATCTGCATGATGCTAGAAGACGATTTGCTCTTCAAAAGGTCTTTAAATGGGCTACAAGGCTCCTTTGTTCATGTTCCATGTTTGTTTTGCGCCCGGAACCCTCTCCAGTTAATTTGGCTCAGCGGAGTCTCGCCATCCAGAGACAACCCCCCCCTCCTTACGCCTTT